TCTGTCTGTCTGTCTGAGCTTTTCGTCGGAACAAACAAAACTAACCGTAATACTCTGGGGTCTGCATTGAGCGAGTGTTCTTAGGGCGGTTAAATTCAGCGCGGGCACTTTTCACCTCCCAACCCCTTAGTCAGCATAGGGTTGAAATAAGATCTTTGTTTGAAACTAAAACTACAGAAAACCCGCACCATTCATCAACGATTGAAATCGTTTCTAAATAAAGTAAATCTCGACACAAGGTTTTCTGGTATTTTTCTTTTCTTTTCTTTTTAATTCATTCTGTGCATGACAAATCTAAATATACATTTTTTTTTAGACAATAATAATTTCCTTTTGTACCGGGAAATCGTCACAAAGAGCTGGAGAGGAACAGATCGCGACAAATTCTCTAAACTCTATTCTATTTAAATTGTTTTGTTTTGATATTTAACTACATTTTTCTTATTTTATTTCAGTAAATAGAATTCCGAATACTACAAAATTTATTTTATAAGCTGTGTTCTCTTTACTGCAGAGCTAATGCAAAATCACAACGAGAAAGCTAGGACGAGATATCAAAATGACCAATTTACATTTTAAATGTTGCTAGGGATTCTTTTTTTCTCGTTTACTCTTCTGGTTCACAGCTGCGAAACAAACAGCTACATACGCAAAAATAACTTAATAGTTCAAACGGAAACATCCACAATTTACCACCGTAGTTCAAAATCTCCATAAACCCCCATCACCATCTTCGTAGAACTCGAGTTAAGTCAGTGTCGTGTGATTTCAATAGTTCAACATACAGAATAACTTTTAAAGATGATTTCCAGTCCGTACTGTGCACTCTCGAGGGTTTGATTGGGTTTTTTGTTTCGTTTCATGTAAAACATCATCAACTACTTACATGGAGTAAATTCAAAGTTTCAAAACAACCGCCAATATGGATGCGAAGCGGTCGAAGCTCTATGCTTCGTTCTTTCTCATATCACTTGATGAAACAACTTCGCAGCTGTGAAAATCACTGACGCTGTTGGAAAAAGAATTTGAAAGGCCTCAAAGATAAGGTATGTGGTTCGTAACGAATAACATTGATTCACATTCCACTGAGTGAGACTTACAATGTTTATGAACATTAGGGCGCTGAGACTGCGCAGTACGGACTGGAAATCACCTTAAAGCAGCTACTTAACTAACGCTTTGTAAGACAGCTACCATTGCAAACAAGAAAATAACACAGCAGTCATGATAACAACCCAGTGATCGTATCATAAATAATTTTCCTATAATACTCTCTTATCTTCACAAGTTCATAATCATTTTTGTAAGGCAAAGCCCGCAAATGACAAGCGGTCACACTTTCTCGATAACGTCATTTCATTTCCTTGGTGTCGCACGTCACAACGATTTGAACAAAGCCTGGAGTCCTCAACACTCTGATGGGCCTGGTAACGACTTCCTAATCTTGAGAAACACTGCTTGGAGGACCGCATCAGCCTGGTGACCAGAACAGCTGAAACAAGAGAGGAGACTGTGAGGCACGATGGAGAATGCTCTGGGGTAGGGTGGGGATGACGAGTGCAAACATTATTTAATGATCCAGTTTTTTTAATAATCAGCATTAATGCTAGAGGCCAAGCGCTCTGAATGTAACGCTTCAAATTCTTTAGTGATTATTATTAATTTATCAAGAAAAGTATGCTTATTTCGTAAACTATGGATGAAATCTCACTCTAATACATACAATTTTTGTAGCTCAGTTTCTGCGATTTCAAACCAGGCCCAGTCTCTTCGTCGTGTAGCTCGACTCATATTGACCAGGAACTCCACATGCTGAGTGCTGACCTGTTGCCTAGCGTCCAGTTCCCCCTCGTCATTCACCATCTGGTGAACTCTGTCGCCGAGTGACTTTATCTTGTCCACCAAGTGCAACGCCTGTTGTTCCAGTCTGTGTGAAAAGCGAAATGAACGTGTGTTGAAAAACACTGACAAAACCGTTAGCAGATTTTAGTGACAATATTTTTACGTAAAGAGGCCTGGTATGAACATACAGCAAGGCTGTTGCCTGAGGAAATTTCTAAGGAGCCCTTTGGGCTCCTAGCTTCAAAAATTAGGAGCCCAAACCATATTTTTAGGAGCCCAGGATAAAATTTGCCGTGGTCAATCCGGGGGGTTGGGGAGGTTGGGGAAGACAACAAAAGGGGG